AGCAGGAATCGCCCATGTTGAATCACCCTTGTACCCCAGCCAGCCCAGCTGCAGCATGTGAAGCCTGGTCAAAGCAACCTGGGCTGGCAGGGGATGTGGGGGTCAACCCATCAGCCTAAGGCTGCTCTCACCAGGTTCTACATGCTGGGGAGCAGCAGGCTGAGGCATGAGCAGCTCCCGTGCTGAAGTACCCTCATGCCTCAGCCAGCCATATTCCCCTCTCTCTCCCGTAGCATGTGAAGCCCAGTTGGAGCAGCTCTGGGTTGGCAAGGGATCCAAGGGATATGCCTGCCAACCCATGGATTTTCTGACCTGGCTCCATGTGCAGTGGTGGGGCTGGATGAGGCACAAGGGTGCTTCATCACAGGGTTACCCAGCAGCCCTGCACTGAAGCATCCTCATGCCTCAGCTAGCCCCTTTGCAGCATGTAGATCCCATCAGAACACCCCTGGGCTGGTAGGCTGACCCCTCGGGTCACCCATCAGCCCAGGAAGCTCTGTTCCAGCTCCACATGCTGTGCATAAATAAATTCTGGAACAATATGTTCCAGAGGTTTTTTTGCTCCTGGGCACACATTCAAAGGGCATGCCCAGGAGCAAAAACTCTGGAGCAATAAGTTCTGGAGTTTATTTGTGCATATTAATCACATGTGTAAATGCACCCAGTATTTAGGACTCCCATGTTGAATTATTTTATTTATTTATGCCTTTTGGTTTGCACACTCATTCCATTAAAGAGGGCACTATTTTAAAAATACTTTGTAGCAACCTTTCCCAAGCATACACAATAACCCAGGGGCTGAGAACATAATTAAGATTCCTGCAGAGTCCATTCACTCCCTCCCAATTGGAGAAAGAGTTGTGTCTTGCACTGTGTCTGATGGTTGATAAAATAGGACTCCCCTGCCCTCTCTAGTGAGCTGCCAACTAAGGTTGAAATCAATGCAACTTGTTTATAGTAGTAGATTTTATTTGATGGCCAAAAGTCAAAGAGGAAGTAGACTAAAATCATATTTGGTGCATCTGCATGTGCATTAATGCACCTTTGCTACTGTGCATTAATTTTAGTACCTCTACTATGAGGTACTACATAAAGGTGCAGTAGCTCATGCTAATGTGCAGTAGAAAAGATTGGGTTTTTCTGTGATGCTTAATGCACAGTAGACTAATTCTACTGCACATTAGCACAATTTTTGCCATGTTCCTCTAATGCGCAGTAGACTAGGCTACTGCGCATTACAGCTTCTCATGTAGACGCTCCCAGTGACTACCAAATAGCTACAGATAATGTTTGTTATCATCACACATCCTGTTTTTCATTTAAATCAATGGGGCACGTAGGGCTATAGCCACAAAAAGACCCAGATGTCACTACATTGAGCATTTTAGTACCTAAATTATAGACTGCTTTGAAAATCTCTGAATTCTAGAGCCCTAGAGTTAAGTGTCTAATGTTAAGCATCTCGGTAACTTCTGAAGCATAGACACCTATGTCTGGACTGCAGAGGATGTATATGTCCCAACTAGATTGACCCCCTCATAAAATGAGGTGTGTATGCCTGCCATGTCTTACCAAAAAGGGAGTGTAACTTGAATTCCTTTTAAGCAGTAACTCTCCAGTGGCAAGAGGGCTCATACAAGACATGAAAGACAGAGGTCCAATTCCCACCCCTTTCACTGGATAGGAACTGCTCTAATCCATAGGCTATGTGGGCATTTTTACACATGCTTCTGGGGAGGCGGGGAGCCGGGGCAGGCAGCTGCCTGCTTCTGAGGCAGGGGACAGTGTCCCAGTCCCAGCTCTGAGACTGGAGCTGGGACCGACAGCTGCCTGCTGCTGGGGCAGGGGACAATGTCTGAGCCCCTGGCTCTGAGATCAGAGTTGGGCCCCAGTAGCAGGCAACTACCAGGGCAGGGGATGATGTTGCAGCATGCCTGCCTGCCCCTATAGGCACAAAGGGAAAGCTTTGGGTGTATTCTAAACTCAGAAACGAGGTTTTAATTGCTGAGGAAGGGTGACATTTGGCTCACTATATCACTATCACTTTCACAGCCCATGACTGCCCCTATGATAGTATGTGGCAAAACTCTCATTGTCATATGGGATTAGGAGCTAGACAATTGAGGCATTTATACACATACGGTTTTGTCCCGCAATGCACCGGAGATCCATTGCTTCAGAGCAGACTTGATTAATGGAGCTTGCTCCTCACGCAAGCTGATGCAAACAGCACTGTACCACAGGCAGTTGTATAAGCAGTGAAATGCACATCAACACTGAGAAAATGGAGGTGGTATGCTTTTGAACTAAAGCACCTCCAATGTGTTTTAGTTCAAAAGTGCACCGCTGCACATTTCACAGCTTATACAACTGCATGCGCCATAACGCCAGGCACTTTTCAAAGCCACTGTGATACATGCATGTGTACAAATGCCCTTCGCAAATAATTGATCCCTGAACAATGCATGAGGGTTACTACTAGCGTGGATGCACTAGTTGGGTAGGTGGAAAGAGCTGTTCCTGTGCCTGGTGTTAGCTACACATTAAGTGGGCACTATTGTCATCCCTCCACTTGGGGGAATGCAAGAATCCTCTCTTTCACCACCCACATATATAAATGACAGAAATGGAATAGGGAAGAAATGAGATCATGCCCTCTCAATCCTTCCAATGCAGGCCTCATCTCTCTATGGCTCGCTGGCCAGCATACACAGAGGCGAAGGCCACACCATCCCTCTCACCTCCCTGTGCCAAGAGAGATACTGTGCTTGTGATACAAAATTCTTCCTCATTTCCTCCCCTAATGCATAGTGTCCAGCCATTCTGTCCCTAACTTAGACTATCATGGAAAACACACAGAACCAAATCCTGAGGGGATGTTAATCAGCACTACTCCACAAAGTTTATTCTTGGTCAGTGTGGCTGGTGTTTTTGCCTCTGTTCAGCTGCAGGCTAGAAAATATTACAGCTTTTGCACATATCAATAGGGCCAATTGGGACCTAATCACCTTACCTTGGTATCAAAATGTCAATGACAACTCAGTGGGACAAATTTTGCAATCATTTGTAATGGTCTAAACCCCTGAGCATCAGTGGGATGTGCAGTTTTACAACTGAGAGAGAAGAATTTGACTTTCACTTCCTGGATCCACATATAGAGATTACTCAGGTATAATGGCCACACCTGAAAGATGTGTTTATATGATGCAAGGCAGCTCGCTGCAGAGATACCTAAGCTAGCCTGGTACTCACTGGCTCTGAAACTAGACTCAGCAAAGCCACATTAGCGTAGTTCTGCCCATGGGTTAACTAACTGTGTTTGGTCAGTTCTGAAGTTAATGTGTATAAAGCTGATAGTTCTCTGCCAAAAATATGTGAATGTGTACCCTTCCGGGGTGTTCCCTATTAACCATCTCAGATACACAAGACACGGAGATTTTGAGAGCAGTGGCAGGAGGCACCCCCAAAGCAGCTTCACTGCCTCATTTTTGGGTTTGGTGCATGCAAGCAGAAGTGGGTGTGTTAGGCCTACTCAAGAGGGGTGCTTAATCGGCACACTGGTAACATGGTGTTGACATATTCATCTAAACCCTGGTACATGAGCCAGCATGTTTATGCCTAATGTGGGGTATCTGTAGGCTACAAAGCACCTTGGAGGCAACAACAGGATCTCTGCATAACACAGTATTACTCGGCGTAAACATACCTAAGAATGCTGCTGTACTATTGCAGAGAGAAAATTAATCAAATTTTCCTTTTCTTGGTACAGACCAGGTGATATGATCACACTTTTGGAGGACTCTAATGAAGACTGGTGGAAGGTAGGCGCTAAATCCTTTATCGTTTATTAGGCTGGGGAGTCGGGGGGGATGTAGTCCTGGTGATAAGATTATTAGATCTTAACACCAGGTCTACATTCCCCTTCCCCACCATGCAACCTGTTACCCATTGACTGGCACAAGTTGCATTTTCACTGACTGGCATTCTCGCATTCTCGCATACTGGCCTCAATTCTATCACATCCAGGAAGAGCACAAAACAACTGCAGACACTTCCCCTGCCTGAGGAAGGATTTTTGTACCCAAAAGCTTGCAAAGAAGATTTTTTCCAACTATTTTAGTTGGTCTAATAAAAGATATCGAATTTACCCAAAGAATCTTGTCTGCCTATGTCCTTAGACCAACACAGCTACAACCAACAGCCCTACATCCTTTATAACCTTTTAAAAGTAGAACGCTATTTACACGAAATATTACAGTCATTCTTTTCTTTATATCATTCTCCAGGGGAAAATTGAGGACCGAACTGGATTTTTCCCTGCTAATTTTGTTCAGAGAGTGCAACGAGATGAAAGGATTTACAAGTGTGTCCGAACATTTATTGGATGCAAGGAACAGGGACAGATAACACTGAAAGAAAACCAAGTAAGTGAACAACTAGCATCATTAAGAACAAGGTCCTGCCCGCTCTACATTTCCAGTAACACTACTGATTAATCTGTAGCTTTCAATGCTGCAATGATAATATAAGCAGATTCTGTTACTGCACATATTAGAATTTCTTTATTTCATTATTATTATTATTATTTCATCCTTATTATTATTTGCTTCTCAGTGGGTACATCTACACAGTCATTAATGTGATTTTGCTAATGAGCATTACATTTAGTACTTCCGTTGTGAGGTACTGAAAAAAAGACTCATTAGCCTATTTTAGTGTGAAGCACATGGTTTTTTTGTGATGCTTTAATGTGCATTAAAATAGGCTAATGCACATTAAAGCGCATGTGTAGACATACCCAATAGTGCCTAAGTCAATACTTAAGGCCAGGGATCTTATTACTAGGTGTTACAAACACATGGAAGATACAGTCCCTTCCTCAAGGAATTTACAGTCTAAACAGTCAATCATACGTATTTATAGACATGATTAACAATACCCATGCAAGTTGTCCTGTTGACTTCGTGGATGAAGCTCCCAGTACATGAGACTAAGACAAGACATAAATTTATTACTGGAGTAATTTAAGACAGAACATCCACCAATGTGCATAACAGCCAATAGAAGGGAAGGGGAAGTGGGCAAGGATAATAGGAAATGATCTAATTTCTAATAAGGATATCCCTGCAGGATGCGTCCAGATGAGTGCCCATGTGCACTCAAAGGCTTTTCAGGCACCACAAAATGCATGTGGCACATATCAAATCGTTCTCCACGCTGCATATTTGCAGCACTGAGCCAAAATTAGATACTGGGAAACCCCAATATCTAAAAAAAAATGATTAAAAAAAAAAAAAAACCAGGGCAGCACATGTGGCTACAGCATGCACCACCTGAAACCAGAGCCTCACCACCCAGAGCCACACTCCAGCTGCCAGCCAGGCTCTGTGCACCCAGATCACCACCACCACAGGCCCAGGAAGACCCCAGGACTCCAGGGAAGGCTGCTGGGACCAGCCCAAGTGCTAGCTCCAGCTTCCCCTACCTTATCAGGTGCAATATGCAGTGCATCAGAGTGGTC